CGTCGAAACATCGCCTGGACTGTCTAGGCACATCGACAGGGAGTCTGCATCGTTCAAGTGCACAACGAATGATAAATTCCGGTGTTGCGTTGAGAATAGAGGACGAGGATGGTGAAGGGAACTGCTATGCGAACAGCCCCTCAGCGAGATCTTCATTCGAAGATCGTTACCCAGGCGCGGGTACAGAATCAACATTACAGTCACGTGGAAGATTACGAGAGATGGATCTGGAGAAGTTGAACAGCGAGCTACCAACAGCGGACACAGCATCAACTAGCGAAGATAATTCAACTGCGAGCGACAACGCCCCTGACGATGACAGGATTGGCCGTTTACCGGATTCGTCGAGCAAGTCGGAGAAATATCGCCATCATAAAAGAACAAGTCCAAGCAGGAAAGCATACACTTCGACCTCACAGTTATATCGAGCTGCCTTTGGTAGTTCACTCAACTGGAAACAGGCAGTTGATCTTGTTGCGAACGAGACACAGAAGGGACCGCCCTCAAACGAGGTATTTCCGACGGTAGACAAATCGCGGGATGCTTTGGAATACAAAACGGTTGAGGTATTTTTGGACGCTATGTGGAATGAGAGGATTTCAAACCATTACGTGTTTCGACTCTACCGAGATCTTCCCTCCCCCGGGGTTGCTTACCTGTCCAAACGCTCCAGAGGAGCACTCCTACGTCGGTTCGCCGATCCTCCAGATCGTCGTTGGGTGGATGCTCGTCGCTACCTTGCGTTGATAGAAGATATGGTCGCTGCGAAGCTGCCCATATCCCGCTCGCTCTGGAGTTCCGCTATACACCTTGCAGGACGAGCGTCTGGCAAAGTACGCAAGCAAGATGTGGTGAGGGCCATTGGACTATGGAAACAGATGGAATATCTGGCGCGTGTTAAGTCTGATGATGTCGTGTTCACCATTCTTTTCGATATTGCCATCAAAGCGAATCAGTTCACCGTCGCGGAACGACTATTGGAGGAAATGAAGAAGCGTAATATTGAATTCCGGCGCTTCGGAAAGGTCTCCAAGCTCTACTATTGTGGTATGCAAGAGGATGTTGCTGGCATTCAAGAGACATTCAATGAATTTGTTTCGAGTGGTGAGATTGTTGACACGGTTGTAATGAATTGCCTAATGGCGTCATTCATTCGTGCCGGAGATGTGGACTCAGCGAAACAGATATATGCGGAGATGCTTGAGGCCCAAGCAAAGTCCCAAGAGACAGGGGAACTAAGCATCGAGTCGAAGCATTCAAAAACACCGCATCTCACATCGGAGATGAACCTCTATCGGAGCAGAGTGAAGAAGCTGGGTCGAGTCCTGCAAGAATCCACCTCACTGAAAGAGATCATGCCTGAACACCATCGTGCGCTTCAGCAATCGCTTCACGCAATCCCTGACACTCGAACATTCCACATATTTCTTTCATTGCACGCTTACAAAACCGCTGACATCCATGGTTTCATGTCTGTCCTTGCAGACATGGAGAAAGTGTTCGTGGTTCCGCCGCGTGGTATGATATACCTCCTACTTTTTGACGGGTTCGCTCGCAACGGGCGAAACAAGAAGGGCTGGACGGCCGAACGGCTACGTGTAGCTTGGAAAACCTATCTGCGTGCTCTTTACGAGTCGAGGACGAGACTCATTGAAATGTACCGCAGCCAAAGTGGAAAGCATATCACAGAGATCCCGGTATTGAAGGCCCCCGCCGCCATGGAGATAGGCTGGCCAACGATTTCGCGAAAGCCAAGCGGACTGTACACTCCATTGCCTTTTGCTGACACCGCTGCCAAGGAGTGGGGCGAGGCCCAGAACGAGGAACAGAAGGTGATGGGCCAGTTCGACGAGCGCAAAGGTGTCTCCCATGTTAATGAAAGCATGGCTGCTCTCGAAGAAGATATTGATGTTGACGAATTGTTTCGACAGCAAGCTCAGGACCTGCAAAATGAGCTGCAAAATGAGCCGCAAGATTCGGAAGAAATCGAACGCCGGATAGAGAATGGCGTCTTTCTTGGCCGTCGAATGGTCATCATCATTCTCCGCGCGTTCGGCGCATGCTGCGGGCCAGAGGAGCTTATGAAGGTCTGGCTGCAGATTATACGGATCTGGCAGCCGGAGAAGCGCAAGGCGCTGGACGTCCTGGCTGCCAAGGAAGAGCTAGAGAGGCAGATGAACAGACTCCAAAGGCAATATTAGCCAATTATGGAGGGTTAGATGTGGGACGGTGATACATGTACATTATAGACCTGTTATAGTAGTATATACCCTCAGGTTGAAGCCTGATAGCGGTGTTTTCAACGGCAACAGCTAAAGGCTGTCGCTTGTTATCCTGTACAGCGAACAAGCTTGTGTGTTATTAGTTTTTTTAAATGATATCATCAATAATGGATTCAAGAGTTGGGTCTAGGAATTCATTTCAAACTTACCAATCTAGGTTTAGTATATAGTGCTATTGGCAATGAAGAGAGATTCCGTTCACTAAATCAGAATCCCATCTGCCTTCCTGATTAGGATCTCTATCTATATCACGTGGCATCGCGTATCGTACCTTCCGCGCGTCGCGTCTTCCAGCCGATGCCTCAATTCTCGATTTTGGGGAAATCTCCCAGCCTGTGCAGACATCTGTCGTGCTTCTAACGATGCTGCAGAAATGGGGAGTGGGAATCTCAAACGTCGCAATGTGGATATAGACTTCTACCTCCGCCGAGTTTTCCGGAAGAAGTCCTTTCGGTATGTTCAAGCTGCCACCAGTTCCTACTAGTGTACTCGACCTAAAAGAGACTATTATATAGTCCTCTTCAGCGTGAGGTGATCACGGCGGCCATCAACGGCCATGATGTGTTCCTGCAGGCAAACACTTCATTCGGAAAAAGCCTGTGCTTTCAACTACCAGCAGTAATAAGCCATGGCGGTTGGTCCACCTGCGTCTACCGCTCGAAGATCTTCATCTTTTGGATTGTGTCTGATGATGTCTTTAGTGACCGTTGTGATTAGCCCTTTGCTTGCTTTGATGGTCAGCCTGCGCAATATCCACCCTCGAGCGGTACTAATATGTCGTGCAGACCGATCAAGTAAAAGCGCTTCAAGCTTTAGGGGTTGCGGTAGCAACAATCAACTCCACGACTCCGATTGCTGAGAGACGTGTGATCTTGGACGACCTACTATCAGGTCACCCGAAAACCCGGCTTCTCTACGTGACACCAGAACTCTGTCAGACAGAAAGCTTTCGACGCAATCTACAGACTATCCACCGCCAGGGAGAACTGAATCGTGTTGCCATTGACGAAGCTCATTGCATTAGTGAATGGGGCCATGACTTCCGGCCGGCGTACAAAGAATTGAGCTGGTTCAAACGAAGTTTGACGAATCCACCGATCCCAATCAGTGCGCTTACAGCGACTGCAACGCCTCGTGTTCGGGAAGATATCATCAGACTTCTTGGCTTGGACGCTTCCATGCTGAAGATCTTTAACACTCCTTCTGCACGTCCAAACATTCATTACGAGATAAGGTACCTCAACGATTTTGCAAGTGACCCCACAGAGCCAGAAGATTTCCAGATCCACAACCTCGTCTCATGGCTCCAGTCTGTCCAGGCCCGCAGAGAGGCCGTCACTGGCTCTGCGCCCGCCACGCTTTCCCCGATATCTGGGATTATCTATGTGCCTCTCAGAGCCGTATCCGATAAACTAGCCCCTGCTTTATCAGCAAGCTGGCCCGGCCGTATTCATGCTGTGGCTTACCACGCTGGCCTATCCTCCGAAGACCGTACGCGCATCCAGTCCGAATGGACATCATCTAAGTCATTCCCTCAGCATGCAAATAATGAGAACGAACTACCGGAACACCCGGCATTTTACATTATCGTCGCAACTACTGCATTCGGTATGGGCATTGATAGCCCGCACGTCCGCTTCGTTATTCATTGGAGTCCGCCGCGGAGCTTCGAAGGCTTCGTTCAAGAATCCGGTCGCGCAGGTCGCGACGGTCATGCCGCCGCATCCATTGTCTACTACAACACACAAGAGCGAGATAGGATTCTTGAACGTCTGCAACGAGACATTGAGAACGCTCGCAATCGCACTGGCGCGCACATGAGCAACCAGAACAGCAAGGCACAACCCACCGTTCAGAATCAGCTTGCTCGACTAGCTAGCTTTCAAAAGGTGATCAGCTACTGTGAGAATACCACACGATGCAGGCATGACATGATCAAGGATTTCTTTGGGGATTTCGAACTTGAGAAGATGGGTTCCCAAGTCCCTACATCGGGGATGAAAACTAATGGTTCCACTGATTCACCATGTGACTTTGCTTGTGACTTCTGCAAGGAAGGTTCTCACGCTCTTGCCCTGCGAAAGGCGAGAATGGCGCCCGAAAGCCACACAGACGACTTTGCCGACATGGACGTCCCGTGGTATATGCAAAAGATGTTCCCGGGGGTATTTTCCTGAGGTTGATCCTTAGAAGTTTGAGTATCTCTTATAGGTTTCATATATATTGCGACAAGAATTTTCAACGATACTGGGGTATAGATACTGGCCATCTTGCTGGTCGACCACTGACACGACTATTCTTGTCAAGCCAGCGTACGCGAAAGATATCAGTATTACGGTTCAATACCGTGTGGAATGATTTTTTATACCACCCCAAAGAAGAGGCGTGCACACATCCTACCAGAGCCAACGGATTGGGCAAACCAGATAATTCGCTAAGCAAAACAGCAAAGTTTCTTTTAGCTTCAGAAATGAGCGCAGATTTCCGGCTTTGCTCTACAGACTTTAGCAACACAGACCAAACCTCGGTTGAATAAGAACGAAAGAACGGACTAAAGGTACAGACAGCCTAGAGGCAGCTCGGTCGTCGATGGGGCTCACTGGCAGGCAGGTATCCATTGCGCCTGCATAGAATCACCGTTTCATACTCGTGAATAAGCATAGCCTTCTTTGATTCTCTGCTTTGGGCTACTGCTATGGCAGCTTCCCAGACATCACCTCACAGTCCTGGAGGGGGAGGGACCTAATCGAGCAAAGCAGTTAATACTTGGGCTTGCCCACTCAACATTAAGTCAGCAGATTGTACTTACAGCACTGTAGCTACCGCCGGGCGGAGGAGGTGGCGGAGAGCCCGATCCCGGAGGGGGAGGAGGGGGAGCCTCGCTGGCGGGAGGCGGCGGCGGCGGAGCGGGGCTCTGGGACTGTTGCTGTTGCTGTTGCTGCTGCTGCTGAGCAGCCGCCTGGTAGTACTGGTAGTAGGCAAGGTAATTCTGGTAACCGCCGTAGGCAGCATATGGGTCGGTTCCGTAGTATTGAGCATACTGGGCGCTGTAGTCGGGAGTTCCGGTTCCCGAACCGCCAGCAGCACCTGCGGCTTGGGTCGACGGGCTAGCAGAGGTAGATGGCGAGTTCTGGTGATGGTTGCTACCATATCCGCCGCCGCCGCCACCACCACCACCGCCGTAACCTCCGCCGTAGTGATAGCGGTCTCCGCGCTGGCCGCCATAACCGCCGTAGCTGTGCTGGGGTGGGTTCTCCTTGAAACGCTGGTACTGCTCGCGAACATTGGCTAGTAGATCCTCACACAGGGCCTTTGCACTCTGGACATCATTCGGGTCGGGACCACTGCAGAATGGAAGTAATAAGTATCGGTGAAAGCTGCTTCCGGTGCTGCAGGGATAGGAAGGGGTTGTAGGTGCGTTACGTACGCTACGTGCAAGAACATTGGCTCATCGCTTTCCCTGCCAGTACTGGGCTCCATGAAACCAGAGCCACGACCTTTGATTTGAACCTTGCAGCGAGTCTTCTGCTGGATGTGCTTCACGTAGGCACCGCCTTGTCCGACGACCTGAGCGCGGAGGTTGAAGCCAGGGATCGGTTCGAGATCGACAGGGATGCGCTCCTCGGGCCATTTGCGCTGTATACCATTAGTTGTCTATAGACTTCTCTCTGGGGTCTTGAATCTTGAAAGGAAGGGACGGGGAGAGTAGCTGGTGCTGGTATGGTGTGAAGGACGTACACGACCGTACTCATCGCGCTCTACTTGCTCGGGTTCGCGACGACGGAACCGGCGCTCATCGACCAAGTTGGGGAGCTCTTTCTTCATGAGATCGTCGATCAAGGCGACGGCCTTTTCAAGGCCTTCCTTGTTTGTGCTCGTTACGTGGAGATAGAGCGGGGGGTTCTGGATAGGGGTTGCACGTTAGTAATCCGAATAGTCTGAATCAACGAGGGAGTTGGTATATGAACGTACCGCGGCGGTGGCCATGCTCTTATCCGGGTAATAGTTTCCTCTCGTAGTGACATCTTGAAAAGAGAACAAAAATGATGAGCTTCCTTCTTGTAGTCAAACGTTTGATAATAATATGAATATGGAATGAAAGGCGTACCGGCGCCAGTTTCTTCTTTGATCTAAATGTCACGCAGCGGAGGTCAGCAGATGCAAATGAGGGCAAGTGTTGGGATGCTATTGCAAGATGTTGACTTGGGTAAGCTTTAGCCATAACCGCAAAACGAATCATTGGAAAAAGAGAAGGACAGGGTAGAAGAAACGAGGCCAAAAACGAGCAAGCAAAACCAAGCAAAAAGGCGCATGGCGAACGACGGAAGCCAGCAGCTAGCTAGGCTTGCGACAGGTTTTGGGCTTTGGGCCTGGGCAGGATCAGCGGATGTATATAGGAGTAATTACCATCTTCTGAGTAGAGCCTTTAGTCAGCGTGTAACGGTTGCGCAAGTCATTAATCTCAATATCCTTGATATAGTCTCCATCAGCAACGTAGATCTCTGCGTTCAACTTTCCAGATGCGTCGCCGCTGGCAGGTGAGCCGGATGTTGGTACGGGGCTTGCGGTCTAGGTAGTAGAGCCAGGGTCAGTATATTGTGTTGTTCTCTGTCTTGCGACCAGCATGGGAGTTGATTACCGAGCGAATTGGAGGGACGTCGACATGTTGAATGCCCTTCTTCGCTTGCAACTGGGCGTTGATCTTTGCCGCAGCGGCAGCTGTGTATGACTCCAACGTTAGTTCTGCTGCTACACACGTTTCCTCTGGCCATTATCACAAAGGGACGAACGTACCAGCGGCGGCAGCGGGATCGGTCTTCTTCGCAGGGTCTGCGCTAGGGCTCCGAGGTTCACGACTGAGAGGGCTGCGAGCTCGAGTCGATTCGGACTGTCGCGACGAGGGAGACCGAGAGCGGCGGTCGAAGCGCGACGGGCGTCGCACTTCCGGCTCGGTCTGATCAAAACGAGAGCGTTTCGAGCGGCGATCGTCCATAGTATCGGCAATGTAGGAAGTGAGAGGTTAAGAGAAGGGAAAGGGATAAGTGACGTCTAAGGTGAAAATGAAGGGCGTGAGGCAAGGCAGCAAGGTAGGCTCCGAAAAGGCCAAGATAAACTTGCCAAAGACTTTCGCAGGCGGTGGAGTTTGGAACGATCCGCCCCGGTTTGGCCGCTAAAGAGGACTCGACTCGAGATAGTTTAGTGGCTCAGCGAAAAAGTAGCAGAAACTAAGCAAGAAATGCCAGCCACGGGGGATGCCGAGCTGCCACTCCGGAGAACTTAGTAGCGGCCCTTTTGCGCTTGGGAACCAATAATAGGCCTAGTGTTTTAAGTGTGTGTAGTAAAGTAGATAGTGTGCCCGTACTGACAGTACAGGGTCCTTTGGATCCAATATTTCCTTTGGAGAGATAGTAGGCAGGTAGATGAACACGACAAATCAATCGAACATTGCGTAAGATGCACTAAATGTATCTATAAGTTGATCAACTACCAAGTAGTAACCACTAGAAACAATAGAATCGATGAAGAAACAAAGATGCAGCCCCGATCATGTGAGTTCACAAAACCCAACTAACCCCAAAACAGCCAAGCGTGCAAACACTATCTACCAGTAGTTCAGTATGTATGGTAAGTAATAAAAGTCGTCACGGGACAAACGAAATCCTTACCGCCGAGACTGAGTCAGCGCCCCGAGGTCGGAAGGCCGCCGCGTATAAAATGCAATGCGAAGTTCCAACACCTGCGGACTTTATTCTCCGCGACCCCAGAAAAGCCCTGCGAGGATCTCCGGACTTTGTTGCCTGCCACTTTTTCCCACAAAAGTGCAGGCTCTAATCCGTCGCCGGCGATCATGGCTTTCCGGCGTCCTTTGATGCTGTCAACGACAGCATCAACGCCTTTCCTGTCCGTTGCGAGCCGTACCTCACGCCTGGGGGCAGCCTCCCGATTCAGCACCACCACTCGGGTCTCTTCCTCCTCCAGCTCGACCTCAGCCCTCGCCTACAAGGCCCTTCATCGCCGGTCTCCCCTCCCTCTCCCCGTCAACGATGCCTCGCCTCAATGGGACGCCCCCACGGCCGTTTCGTCCATTCTCTACGAAACCCCTTCCGTCCCCACCAACCCTCCCAAGCGCCATATCCTGAACTGTCTGGTGCAGAACGAGCCCGGTGTCCTGTCCCGTGTGTCCGGTATCCTGGCCGCTCGTGGCTTCAACATCGACTCCCTCGTCGTCTGTAACACCGAAGTCGAGGATCTGTCTCGTATGACCATCGTCTTGCAGGGTCAGGATGGCGTCGTCGAGCAGGCTCGTCGTCAACTCGATGATCTCGTCCCCGTCTGGGCTGTCCTCGATTACACCGAGTCCGCTCTGGTGCAGCGCGAGCTCCTCCTCGCCAAGGTCAGCATCTTGGGTCCCGAGTTCTTCGAGGAATTGCTGCAGCACCACCGCGAAATCACTACCCCCGGTGAGCAGACGGAGGGTCAGAAGGATAAGGCTGCGCAGGTTGCCAAGACCGAGTTCCACCCGCGTAATCTGCCCCAATCTCAGGCTTTGAGACACAAGCATGAGCATCTGGATGCGATTACTCGTCTCACTCATCAATTCGGTGGAAAGGTGCTGGATATCAGTACCAACAACTGCATTGTTGAGGTGTAAGTTACCCGCCCTATGAGTCATATACATACAATTTTCCTGCACCTCTTGATTCTGATGATATGATATAGTTCCGCCAAACCCTCCCGTATCGACTCCTTCATGAAGCTCATCGGCCCCTTCGGTGTCCTCGAATCCACCCGTACCGGTCTGATGGCTCTGCCCCGGTCTCCTCTCTTCGAGCCTAGCGAGGAGATCGAGAAGGACGCCGCTGACGTTGTTGACGCCAGCACCCTTCCCCCCGGTTAAATGTAATCGTCTGTGCGCTTTTACTTATCTATCTATTATTATTATTATCTATATCCCGCACTGTAAAAAGCACAACCACAATGTACTTCATCCGTTTCCTTTTGCAGGACCTGAGTTCCACCTAATAATATGTTGTAAATTTTCGCATTCAATGATTGACTCAATTTATTTGGATCTCGCAGTACTATGACTACTACTACTACTACTACTACTACTACTACTACTACTACTACTACTACTACTGATAGCATTGCTTTTCATTGAAAGCCAATAATACTCAATTCTGTATTGCAAATGAGTCATCCGTATCCCAGCGAACAGTCCAGTAAACCAAGTAAGAAATAGCCTAATTACCCCAACGTCAAAACGCCTGTTCTATTATTCCTAACGCCGGTTCAGATTGGATGAGAAATCGATTCAAGGCCGCTTATGAAAACAATAACCCAAAAGAGCAAAAGAAAAGAGAAAAAACTCCTAAAGTTTGACTCGCGCCTTAATCCCCTTTCCATGATAAAACACTATATCCCGATAGTGTTGAATCTGAACGCCAACCTTCGCCACGGCATCTAATCCAAGAGTGCCACCCAGCGCTTTCTTCAGCGCATCATAGCCAATACCGCCGAGGTTCAAGTCCACAGGCAATCGGGGTGTGACTGAGATACCCGGCGGCACGGGGAACGGCACCCGGTAGTCGATGGTGCCGACTTCCTCGTCGCCTTCGTAGAATGCCTGCGCATATACCGAAGTGATATCAATGGTGGTGTTGGGAAATGGTGAGGATAGTGTGAACTCGGCCGTGGATGACCAGAGGTGCATCTAGTAGCAGCACTCACGCAAGTTAGTCTTCCTCTTGTCTTGAACGGAGCGCGCGCTCCGTGGATGAATAAATGCCTCGTCATGATTATGGTTATGGTTATGATAACGTAATGTGTAGTGGTTTAAGTGCCATGTTCTGAGACGATATCTATGAAAGTAGATAATACCGTAGCTCCTTGGATGAACCCTTTTGAGTCATCATCAGGGTCGTCCCCGGCACCCGGGGCATGAGGCACGGGTACCCGAGGAAGCTGGACCTCGAGCCCTAGTTTCGACAGCGCCTTCCCGAGTTTGGGTAGTCCCGGGATGGTTCCCTCATGTGTCCGTACTGTAACAGTTGTGTTGTATCCTGCGACTATGGTTAGGAATCGGAAGTGGAAAAAGAGGCTCTTTCGAGCTTACCTGAAATATACTTGGAGAGCAGCTCCCGGCCAGCAGCGACGCCTGTCTCCCCATCCAAAACAAGTGGGCTCCAAGTGAGATCCACGGGGAGACCATCATTGGTGCCCGGGGTAATGGTAAGATCCTTTGCAGTGATGTGTCCGACTCTAGAACCATTGAATAAGAGCAGGAAATCTACCGATGGCACAGATGCTGAGTACGGCGAGGGATTGGTCACGTTGACCAGAGCCTTCACCAGAAGAGACGAGGCAGTAGTAGCTCCAAGTTCTACCGATGCAATATGCGGGCTTAATTCGTCCAAAGAGCCACCGTATGGGGCTACAGAAAGTCAGTCGATAGGCAGGAGAGTCAGCTAGACATGACTTACGCTTAACCACAATCTCACCCTGCGCGGGTATCTCACGAACAGCAAAAGTGCCCAGCCCCGTAGTGACTTCGGCATCTACACTGGCGGCAACATCTAGCTTGACCCGTTTCCCTTGGAAAATCAAGTCTTGAAGAACGTCGGTCAAAACATCTTCATCCGTCACTTCAAGCGGCGCTTTCTTGATCCCGAAGTCGACGTATAGCGCTGGTGAGCCATCAACATCATCAAGCAGAGTCGAGTTGGCAGCCTGCCATTTCCGTAAGTTCAGGATCCCGAGCTTATTGCCACCGTAATAAACGTCAGCAGTAGCCCGGACCCTGGGGACGTCCAACTGAAGTCCCAATTCTTTCGGCAGCCCGATCAGCACTTTCACCAACGCAGATACCGTCGGTTGTGATTCTGGAGAATCGGGTTCCGCAAAGGGATCTGGCAGGGTGAAATGCACGTCCGACATTGTGAAGTTCCTGACGAGATTGTCAAGGGCATGCCCAGTGAAACTCAGCGGCACCGTCACGCTTTTGAGAATATCTACAACCCATCCAGGAGTAGCTAGCGAAGGCGGATCCGCTCCACGAACATAGACAGTGGTTCCATCTCCATGAATATAGCTCTTGACCAGGAAATCCAGAGGGGAGCTCTTCATTCCTGGACACACTCTGGTCAAGTCCTCAGAGAGTCCTTGGATTACGCCGGCAACATCAACTGATGTTGGTTGGCCAGGAGTAACCGGAAACCCGCGAGTCGTAGCAGCGGCTACCCGAATCGGGGCATCACCTGGAGAGCAATTCGGGACCAGAACTTCGAACCCCAGTGGAGGAATGTTCACTGCGAACGGTGAATCAAACTGGACAGCGGCTGAGGCATCAATTGCCATTGCGCCTTGCTGTCCTGGGTCTTCCGCATCATGGACGTTGAGATTCGTGATGTTGACAGCGGGCAAAGAAGGAAAGTCACCCTCTAGATCCGAGTTAGAAGCTTATACGACGAATCTAAATAATGTGAAACCAACCTTCAATGGTAAGGGAGTCGGAAAGGAGCTGCTGGCCTAGGCTGAGAAATCCCGACTTGATATCAAGGGTTGCTGCTCCTCTGACCGTCAGCTTCTCGAGCTTTCCATTCAACCAATCTAATGCCACGTTGTGAATTCCCTCGAAGTCTCCAGGCACAAAGTCTGCCAGGAAATTGACATGATTTATATGACCATTCTGAATGTTGACCTTGACGGAAGGCAGGTTTGCCGTGCCTAGAAGAACGTTCCCATACTCTGGGAGATATAGTTCGACTTCCGACTGGCCGGATTCGGCCTCCCTTCCGATCCAAGTGACGAAACGACCAATGTCCCGGACTGGTTTCTTGTGTACGCGCCGCGCATCGAGCACCACGTCCCCTTGTATCCGAGCTTGAAGGCCATCCGCAGTGGCTGATTCAATCGAGACATTGGTGGGCTTAAAGACCACCGCCTCCTTGGCGTATTCCTTGACGGCAGCTGGGGCGATGAAGGCGAAAATGAGGATGGCGACTACAGCCGCCACTGTAAGGAGAGCACAGAAGATAGGCCATCGTATACGTCCACGGCGTTTCTTGAGCGTCCCACTGGAGGAGATACTTCGAGGTCGGACAGACGACGGCCTCCTGGAGCCGGTCCCGCCGTATCCCAGGAGATCGTCATCGTGACGGACGAGGAGAGGGGTTGATTCAGAAGATAGCTCATACGGACCCGGCTCCGAATCGGGGGGATGGGAGGCTTTGCCAATGGACGTTGGGGAGCGATGAGGCGAGATCGGTCGTGGCTCTTGCTCTATCAGAGGCCGGCTTGCCTCCTCAGCCATGGTGGCTGGGCGCTAGGGAGCGGGGAGAAGATCGGGGTTGGGGGAACGACAGAATGGCACACTCCGAAGAGCAACTAGAGAGATGAAGACGAGTTGTGGCAAGTTGGGATGAAAGTGAGTGCTTGACAGAGGGGAGGGGGGTAATCGGAGGAAATAAATACGTAGCGGGGAAGGCAAGAGAGAGGCAATAATGGGCTGAGGGAATGGCGTTGAAGGAGTGACAAGTTGACAGGGCAGAGTGATTGGGTACGTGGAGAGCATCCCGGCCAGTCCAGTTCCAGTCCGGCTGATCGTCAACGTAAGTAAGTAAGGCTGGTCTGGGCGGTGTGGGGATGGCATTCACTCTCTCCCATCATTTACTTATCAGGAAGTCAAGGTGAGGCAGATTCTTACTAACTCATCAAATGATTCGGTGATCTGCTGGAATCGGTAAGCCCCAGATCTTGTTGCTGCCCTACTCGGAGATTTCCTGATTTATGCTGGGATTATCCAGGCAACCCTATTTAAGTACTTGGTCGAGTCCCAACCAAATGCAGTAAGTGGCACCACTTCGCGTCACTATAAATATACTGTCACGAGTTGCTTGGTAGGGGATTGTACACTTATTCAATCGATGTGGATTTCAAGTTAAATAAACTACACTCAGATAGCAGCGACCAGTTAGATAGATACTGGATGACGAGACACTAACGCCCTTTCCATCCAACCATGCTTTGCCTCAATTAAGCTTATAATTAGTTAACCTGTAAGCAAGAGATCAATGTCTTCAAGAATACCCCCCCAAAAGGTTGTTGGAGTCAAGTCATCCGGGAGTCATGAAATTGAATGCCCGCATTTTCACATGCCATTCCGCGCACGGGCGCCCCCCCCTTCAAGCTCCAGCCGAAGGTGGTTCGATCTTCTCCTCCAACCCCGACGATCATCACGATCTGGGTTTAATAGCCCATTGTGCCCTCTCTCCATCTTCCATCAATCTTCCCACCTTATTTGTCTCGAACACTTCCCCGCAAAAGGTCTTCCGGTGACCCGTGTGGTCCTAACGCCCTCATGGATGTGAGTGAACCCTTGCCCCAGATCCACCCACAACCCACTCACTAACTCCCCCATCAAACATCAGTCTTCACAATCTCAAGGCGGGTTTCGATCACGCCGTTCATATCCCGCCTTACACCATGTATCTCTATCTCCACTAAACCCTCGATTCCCCATCGACGACGACGATACCGATGCCCCAGACTATTTCTCTCCTCGCCACGAAAACCCCGGCACCCCCAGCGCAACCAGGACCTCGTATCTCTCTAGTTTCTCCGTCCCCGGAACCCCAGGCGTCCTATCCCACTCTCATTCCCGTAGCGGGTCCCGCGTTCGTCGCCATTCCCGAAGCAAGAGCTCCACTCGCATCCATTCCAGCGACACCAATCTACAGTCCCGGAGCGTGGCCAGTCCACTCCATCACCAGCAGAATGAAGAGCTCCGTCGGAGCAGAACACGCTCCTCCCGGCGTCACCCCGATGCCGCCGCCCACCATCACAACCCAGACACAGAATGGATGCTCCGCGCAGGCATTGCCCTCGCATCCTCGACCCGCGAAGAAAAGGGTCAAAGCTGGCTCGTGAAACGCCAAAGCTCAACTAGCCTCGTCTCAGACAGCCATCAAATCGACCTAGACAGCCAACAGCAACAACAGCCATGGGCCTCACGGAGCAGCGCCCGTCGTTCTCAATCCGGCATATCCACACCTGCCGCCTACTCTCGTCGAGCCTCTCGCTCAGGCCCAACAAGCCGCAGATCCAGCAGACCCGACCTGGCCATGACCAGCCTTGACATTACCCGGTTTTCCAGCAGACAAGAAAACCCCACTACCACCAGCAGCAGTGGCATTCACACCCCCATCGAAGAACAATCCCGTCACATGCTCCCCGACTTCGTGGACGAGCGCATCCGCGCCGAGATGGCAAACATAGCCGACGAAGAAGGAGCTGAAGAAGAAGACAACCTCAGCTTCACAACCACATCGGGCTCCCTCATCGCCTCCGAAGACGAAATCGATGAACAAGAATTCCAGCGTCTCACCCGCGAACGAGGTTTCGGACTAGGCAGCTGGATCGACCGAATGGTAGAATGGACCTTATTCGGTGTCGACGACTGGCCACTCTCCACAACGACAGCAACCACCGCTCCACCGGCAGTAATATCAGGAGGAGCCATCAATCACGACCCTCAATCTCTCATGCACGACAGCATCCATTCCCAAGAAACAGACAATATATCAATAGCTACAGAGTCAGACATCGCTTCCATAAGCGAAGAGAAACCCGGAGCTCGCGGCGGGTGGGAAGATGCCGGGTGGTTGTTCAGGATTGTGAAACGGGCATTGTCATGAACGGGAAAAAAAGGAACACGAAACATAACAGGACTCATTTCAATACCTTTACTTGCATATTTATTGTATATCTGATCCAACCATGGATGGATCCCCTCTCTTCTCTAGGAGAACACAATCGCCACTAGTAATAGCAAGGTATATATCTATACATATAGGGCAACCAATAACATCAAATAAGTAGTAAGCATAAGCATTGATTGAAGCTGCCTATGTAAATACTTACCTAAGTAAGTAAGCACAAGACAAGGGTTACTACATGTTGACTTCATCAATTCCTGATTTCTCATCTTGCACGACGGTCTGCGAACACGTAAGTGCATACGTAGACCCCCCATGCTGACATGGCCAGTTAGTTTCAGCATTCGTGGTTAGCGTACCGGCGGGTTGATACGTTGATGGCCGTGTGCTAGTTAATAGTAATTTTAGTAGTCGTTGAGGGTTGTCCACGGTGGCTATAGTATTATTGAAAGTTGCTAGTTGTCACTGAGTTATAATGTACCATATATGGGAGGGATGGATACCGGTTATGAACGGCAGAGTCAAGGTCTGTCGGAAATAAATAAGTTGCTTCAATACTGGTAGTAATAGCAAGAGTATTAGTTTCAGTTGTTTAGGTAAATATGGGCATATAATGCGATTGCTATTCTAATTTTAATTATGTACTAGTAGCATACAAGTAACTCCATAAGTTGTATTGCCGTTGCATGAATGTTGACGATGGCGTGGGCCTGATTCGAAGGCGCATGTGTACCCTTGGTTCTACTGAGCTGCTGGTGAGGCAGGATATATTTCTGCAGTGCGAGGTGGGTTTCCCAATTGTGGAACATTAGCAGGAGGATGAATGATCATAGCACAAGGATATAACGAGAGTATCAGTTGGTTGATAACCCGAGACGGCTCGGGAGGGTTGGTTCTCGTGGTATTGTGACTATCTGGACAATGATGCTCCCTTTTGTTCTTATGCTTTACTGACATGTAGTGTAACCCGTCCCACCAAATGAAAGAGGCCTCCCAAAACCCGAAGAAGAATATACCTGACACCAGTGATATTAAGGGGAAAATAGTAAAGGGTATACAAGATAGGGCAAAGACAAGGAAAATGCAGCTAGGCTGAAAGAATGAAGCGGTTTTTTTCCACGGCGGTTCGAGTATATATCGCCGAGACAGAAGAAGAACACATGAAGTGGAAGGAAATGATGATCGAAAGGAATGAAAGAATGTACCATGCTCGGCTGTGACAATGCAGGATCATGGTGCAATTTTGAAACGAAATGAAGGATCCTGGGCCTTGATCTGACAATCTAGAAATCATGGGGTTGGCGTCCAGAGATATGACACAAAGGAGGAAATGGAAAATAAACGAAAAAGAATATGTTTGCTTGCACACAGTAAACGCCAAGCTGACCCTCAACTCTAGTTCATGCAGTAGGTAGTCGTGATCGTATCATACGTGGACGTGCACGGTCGAGGATTCGGACAGAGCCCTGAAAATTTGAAGGGCGGGTGAGAGAGTCGCGAATTTGATGTGATGGTTGGAAATGAGGATAAAGGCGGATTGCGGTTGTCGATGGCCGACCGGATTCACCATGGCCCAACCTTGACGGGGGTACCGAGCCCGTATGTGCCCGACAGGAGTTGCTCCCGGATGGACCCAAGGTCATTGCCGCCTGGGCTTCCATAACCTTGGGCATCCGGTCTGTGCATCCATCCTAAACTGGAACCCAGCTCGTTGACGGCTGCCTGCAGTTTACCGCCCGAGTTGTGATTGTGCTTCGCCAACTTCTGATCCCAACCACCGTACTGTAACTGGATTCCCCCTCCACGCTTAGCTGCTTCCCGAATCACCAGAATCCAAGCCTTGCAGATCTCGTCGTATGCGGAATCCCGCTCGAGGTTGTTCTGTGGTGTACTCCAACGGGGCAATGCGTGAATTATGTCGGTCGCACCATCCAGGTAACTCAAAGAAACAGACGACTGCGTCTCGTGAGGCGGTAAGAAGTGTGGAGTGAAGTCGCTCAAAGCATCTAGAAGATTTCCCAGTGGTTGTCGGACACGATTGTATGCATAATCTGATTCGGAGTTGCCACCGAGTGGGAACGACGACTGAAGGGCGGATTCGTAATGTCGAAGGACTTGAAGGGCAGATGCCACACTGGGTCGAGGTGCTGTGTGGACTACTTCATCGACCAAACCTGGATGACGCTCACACACAGTCCGGAGGATGCCCCGAAGAGCGTCTGTGTCCAAGGTCTCCAGCAGTCGGGGGAGAGCGAGAGGCCGTCCGCTGACATTTGGACGAGCACGCTTGATGTTTCGGTTTACTGGGAGGGTTCTCGGAGTCAAGGCGGGAGAGTTGGTAGGTGACGCTGACATTCGACCATCGTGATCATTCTCATCGTCGGCTTTCCGTTTGCGGTTGTTGGGAGTGTGAATGGGAGTAGACACTGATATCAGTCAGTCATCAAAGGTCAAGTAAAAAGGGAGTCATCACGAATGCACTGGAGGGAGAGGGGGCAAGACTTACTTGGACGGGAGGGAGAAGGACGGGAGTATTCGTAAAAGTGATGAGGAGGCACAGGTGGTGTAGCCACCAAGCTGTTCATGATGACCACAAACAGCTGGATGGCAAAGGGAGAGGGAGGGGAGGGAGAGAGGTAGCGAGAGATGACGGGGTGGGAAAGCAGAGATGGAGGGACCAAAGGTCAGCCAGGAGCACGAGGGAAAATATCAAAGGGAGGAAGGATAAGGAAAGCGAACAAGCAAGGGAAAGACGGAGTGCAGGATGGAGGATGAAGGGGAGACTTTCTGAAGTGGTGGGGAAAGAGAGAGAAAGACTGAGCGAGAAGCGGTGGACAGGCGGGTTGCGGGAGGCAACGCGGGCCTGAGATGCATTTCCCGCGGATCCATGACTCTGACTTGAAAGTCTGTGACTGCTCTTTCTCCTTTACCCTTTACCCACTTGCCTCAATGTGATCCACCCATTTCCACCTTGGAATCCTACCCTCTTCCTCCCTCCTGATTTGTGGCAAAAAAACCATATTATCCCAGGCCCTGCGCCTGGTGCATCTAACCTGGCCCTGCTCTGCACCACTTACAGCTCCCCAAGGTCCGCATGACCCCAACTCATCAAGCGTCAACTCTAAAACCGTCCGATAAACGGAGCATCTTGTCAATGACTGAAACAGTCAACCGGACTGTTCCACCGCGTGGCCGTCTTGGGATACGGGACCAACCATTTATCAATATCCCCTGATGCTACCATCATTTTCATATTTTCATATTTGCTCATCCAAGCTCGCAATATCCTTTTAACATGCTGTGCTTCTCGAAAAAGGTTACATGCTAACCCTGTGACGCTGTTGTGACTATGTCTACGTCTGCAGCCTCAAATTTCTGCCACCCCGGATTGACATTTATCTGCACTCCTTACCCCAGAGCAGGAATGATCCTCAAGCTGTAACCTGGTCAACCTTGCAGAAAACGAACCCTGGGGGTTTTGGTTAAGTGGAACATTGAACTAACGTTGTCCTGCTACCCTGGTATCCGGAACTGGGTCTCATCAACACTGCTCGGGTTTAGTTTTGCTGCCTCCTTAGTCTGCATATATGTCTATACGTCATTGGAACTGACCCAACGCCTGGCTAAAAGATTAGTCCAACTACGAACTCATATACTGAACCCAGAAGATCCCGGAGCGGGCTTACGGTCCAACGCCATGAAACTTCCTAGTAACTTCCAGCGAAACGCCTCATTCGCGTCAATCAGCAATGAGAATGCGCTCATCTGAAACATATTTCCGTTGAACACAGCATCATGGTAACATCGCCGTATTCCAGACACTCTCATTGAACTATCCCCCAAGCCACTCAGTTGACAGGTAGGCGATGGACAGTCTGGCACTTGCTCGTGTCTGGACTATTGTTTGGGGCTATCTTCCAACCATCTGAGACCGTGTCAGGTCGTAGCAGGTCCAAGGAAACCCCGATGGCTTACTGCTGCAAACGACAAGACCGAAAGCATAGACCCCTGGCTCTGGACTATCTGACATATGATCAACCATTTGTAGAATTGTATCACTTAGTATATTCTTCATACGAAAATAAAGAATGAGACCGAACCCACACAATGGCACAGCCAATCTCAAAAGGACCACAAGAAAACAATATTGCGCCTCCACCTAACACGCATAGTAAACACGCATATTAGCACCAACCTTCCCTACTATTATCACACGATTGAGACGAAGTAAAGCCTCCAATCAACCAACCCAAAATCCCAATAACACCAAGCCAACGCCCAGCAGTGTCAAGCACCGAAGACCATGACCCAAGCACAAAGAAAACACACATACACTGCAACATTAACAAATCTTTCTATTTCCCCAGTCGTTCGTACCACAAATACAGACCGGGGGTAAAATTACCGGTCGTTGGCTTCATTTTAAATGAACCGTGTCTGAGTCTGAGTCTGAGGGTGCTTGGGATGCCTAAACACCACTCCTCACATATATGCACATGGAGCAGCAACGCAGCTGATTTCTGGGAACGGGGTTCCTTTTGAAGACGGATAAAATGTATTCTAAATAGAAGGTGACACACTATGAGGTATGGGTACTACTGGGTACCAGTCTAGATAGATGGAAGTGGATGGTGATGGTATGAAGCCTAATTGATACTGTCGCTTCTTGATGTAGTCTAGAAATATTGTTGTGTACATCTGATGGGCTCAGGTAACAGAAAGCAAGTGCAAAGAAAAGTAAGATGAAAAAGGGAATGAGATATCTCATTTACAAATAGTAAGAAAAAAGAGGTAACGAACAACAAAGCCAAATCCTTTTTGGGAAGCCTGACGCCAGAAAAATGCGACCACCCAGACATACCGCGCAAACCATCCTTTACAACAGAGGTAATGATGATGATGATAAATGAGGAGGACAAAACTGACCCAAGGGAGAAGATAGATAGATACAAGAACTACTAAAGATAGGTAGCAGCAGTACCTTAGAGATACAAGGACTGGGCAGCGACAATGTCCCTGCGCACCTTGGTCAAGGCTGTCTCGAATTTACCCTCCAAATCTTCGCTTCCCATGACCTTGGCTGCCTGCGCCATCTGTCGGAGACACTCTTCCAATCGGCGGAAGACGCGAATCAAACTGCCTTCGTAGACGTC